ATTTGATTTAGTTATTATTTCTATTAAAAGTTATGGTGCCAGGTTGAGTGTGGTGACATAGACCTGTAAGGCAAGTTGGAGGTCAGCCAGGAAGAGACCCAGGAAAAACAGTAAAGTTAGAGGACTAGAGTGGTTAAGAGTGGCTTAGTGGTTAAGAGTACTTGCTACATTTGTAAAAGATTAGGGTTTAGTTCCCAGCACCTGCAGCACCTGCATCAGGTGGCTCAAGCTATCTGTAACTCCAATTCTAGGGGAGTCTAACTCCCTTTTTTGGATTCTGTAGGTACCAGCATGCATGGTATGTATATATGTAGTCTCAGGCACACATAGACAAAAATTAAAAAATGAAAACAAAACATCTTTCTCCTTTTCTTCCAGTTATTGGTGGAGTGTGGGCTACTTTCTTGTTTACTTAAGTTCCTTAGTTTACTCAGGGCTTTGTACCTTAGCTATGTGAACACTTGTTTCATTGTTTTCCTACTTATCCAGTATTACAGAGTATCATCTGTGTACCAGAACCTCTTCTGAGCCCCTAGGGATGCAGCTGTAAACAGACAGTACAAAGAGAACTCTTGTATGTTCAACCTATTCTCAAGGTTTTTAGACATATTTGTGTAATTTAGGAATAACCACAGTTAGTTCCTCAACTGGCCAGACCATATGATAGCATCTGTGCAGTTGTCCTTACACCTTCTCTCCATCAGTTGCTTGTCAGCACTGTTTCCCATTTGTGTGGCTTAATAGGATCTCTTAGCAATAGAACAAATTGCAAGGGACTGAAGAACACAGTCTGAGCATAGATTGGTTTTTATTAGTTAAATGTGATTGATCCTCAACTTGAGGTATAAGATTTGAGTTTGTGGGTTATTTATTTAAGAACTTTTTAGATTATTTTATGTGTAAATATGTTTATGTTTGTGTGGCTATATACCACATGTGTGGGTGCCTCTGGAGGAAGGAAGAGGGTTTTTAATTTCCTGAAACTGGAGTTATAGGCAGTTGTAAGCTGCCTGATACTGCTACTGGGAACTGAACTGGACTCCTGGAATAGCAGCACAGGGCCATCTCTTCAGCTTCAGACATTTTTTAAGTATTCAAGAAATTGCTGTGAAAATCCCTCTCACCCCTTGTACTGGGGACTGAGCCCAGGGGCTGGCATATGCTAAGCAATGTTTCTAATCACTGAACTATCATGCTAGCCATAAATGGATGGCTTTTAAAAACTTTAAGAAGGTTTGGATGCCCTTCTTAGTAGATTTTGGTCATTAGTTTATCTCCTAAAGTAATGAGTATATCTGTAGAACCTTTAAGTATGGGTAGCCTGTGTTTTCTATTCAGTGGGTCACATGGAAGGCAAATTGAGTACACTGGTCAAAGTAGGATTCTTAGGACAGTGTATCTCTCAACTAGTAGAGAAATGTGTTACTCTGTTAATTCAGAGTCTGCTTACCCTTTCCTTCACTCCAGTTGTTAAGGGATGTTGCCCTAAGTTGTCCCCTAGATAGGCTGCCAAGAAGGAAATTCATACCCACTTTAACAAGGTGTGAAGCTTATCTTAGAGTTGCTAATGCCTCACTGACCTTTCGGAAAGGGCAGTAGTCACTCATGAAGTTGAGCAATTTTTCTTCTTTAAGAGCTAATTAATTTCTTAATTCTGATATGTTCTCCTTGGTGAATGTTTGGAAGGCTGTATCAGCAACTGTAATTCTGCATCTATCAAAATTTATAACTTCCTAGAGAAGTTTTCATTCTGGCAGAGATCCTGGTCTTAGTACTGGGAATGCCCTGTTGAAAGCTTCCTGTAGTATTTCTTACATGCAGGTTTCTCCTGCCCTGCTTGTCAGTGGTAATTGACATGTGTCAAAGTCTGGGTACTTTCTCTTTGGTTTTTCTTTGATCTGATTCTTTGCTAGTTCAATGTTAATCCTATTGAGAGTTTCATATTGCCTTAATTACCTTCTGGTCATTTTCTATTTGTGTTTTTAAAAAAACAAAACAAAAAAACCAACTCATTGAGTATAAATGCTATGTGGGTTCTTTTTGGTTTTTGTTTGTTTTTTTTTCAAGACAGGGTTTCTGTGTGTAGCCTTGGCTGTCCTGGACTCACTTTGTAGACCAGGCTGGCCTCAAACAGGATTAATCTGCCTCTGCCTCCCGGAGTGCTGGGATTATAGGCGAGCACTACCATGCCCGGCTGCATTTATTATTTTTAACTTTATTAATTTTACTTATAACATGGGATTATACATACACACACACACACACACACACACACACACACACACACACACACATATGTTATATGTTTGTTTTGAGACAGGCTCTCTATTATGTCCTGGAACTTGCCAGGCTGATCTTGAACTCAGATCCACCTACCTCTGCCTCCTGAGATCTAGGATTAAATGTTTTGGGGTGCATGTGTATATGTACACAGAGGTCGGTTAACTTTGGTTCTAGTCTCCTGCTTTTATGTGGGTTCCAGGAATTAAATCAGGTTGCCAAGTTTGTAGGGTAAGTGTCTTTACCTGATGAGCCATCTTGCTAGCTCCTAGATAATCTGTTAAAGAGTCTTTATTGTGAAATATGTTTATTTTAGGCAACATAGCCCAGTCCCACCCTCTAAAGCAAAGCAAAGCCCATTTCCCAGATGCAGTCACTAAGGTTGGCAGGGTTCTGATAAAACTGCTGATGATGTTTGTCAGGGTCTGGCTTTGGTTAATGGAAGGGAGCTTTTGTGCATGTGTGACATGGACCTTGTATGGAGGGCAAAAGGACAACTTTGAGGAGTCAGTTGTCAGATCCTTGCACTGTGAGTTCCAGAACTGAATTCACATCATCAAGCTGGCACGGCAAGTGCCTTCACCTACTCCTCCACCTTACTAGCCCTCCTGGTTAACTTTTAATCCTTACATCAGTGGTTCTCAGCCTATGGGGTGGAACAACCCTTTCACAGAGTTCACCGAAGACCATCAGAAAATACATATTTACATTGTAGTTCATATCAGTAGCAACGAACATAATTTTATGGTTAGGGGTGACCACAACAAGGAACTGTATTAAAGGGTCACAGCATTAGGAAGGTTGAGAACCACTACCTTAGGTACCCTTAACCAAGTTTTTATTAACTCACTGTGTTCTCTTTATATCATCTTCATAGTCTCTTGGCTATTAAATTGTAGTTGTTTGGGGTGAGAGTAGGATCTTGTCATGTTGCCTCAAACTAGCAGCCATCCTGCCTTGCCCTCCTAGATTAGGTCAGGTGTCATTTTTTCTTTTGTAATTACATTTTGAGTTCATGTGTGCATGCCTTTTGAGAGTAGTTTTCCTTTTACCAGGTGATTACATTTAGACTGTCAGGTTTGGCAGCAGTTTTACCAGATGTACCATTTCCCTGGTTCAGCATGTTTTATTTATTTGGACGGGGATTGTAGGCCTTTTTAAAATCTTAATTTATTTTATTGGGGTTTCTTATACCTCTTCCTCCCTTCTCTACCCCGGTCCCTTCCACCACCCCAGAACCAGGTAGGAGGAAAAGGTTCTCTTGAGCTACTTCTGTTGGTTAGGGTCTTTGGGGCAAGTTCAATCTTTGTTTCAAGATACCTCCAGCTTCTCACAGCAACCAGGATCAGCAGTCTCCTTTCTTGGGGACCCTTCTCATTCCCTATCTCCAGCCCACTGTGGCATCTGGCATTTATCCTTCTCCCACAGTCTTCAGAATTAAGCTGTCCGTAGCTGGCAAAGATGATGCCCCTCTCAGAGCCTGCATGAGGCAAATAGTCTGCTACTGTGAACAATCTAAAGCAGCTCCATATCCCACACCAGAGATTAAAATGGAAACACGTTTACTTAACATAACTGAGTTTTTAAAGATACCAAAACTTGCATTACAGGGGATTTATGTAATTTCTGAAGTGCCGTATTGCAATACTAGGTGAGGTGTGCCAAATGGCCTTCAGAGTACATTCCCAGTCTCAGAACAGTCTTGTGTAATTTTGGTGTGACCTTCACTACCACTGAGAATTTACGGAGATTAAATTGGTCTACATTGAATTTGAGTGAATGGTCAATTTTTTTTTTTCCCCAAATGTTTTTGCTTGTTTTTTGGGTTTTTTTGAGACGTGTGTGTGTGTGTGTGTGTGTGTGTGTGTGTGTGTGTGTAGCCTTGGCTGCCCTAGTCTGAGGACAGCCTAGATCAGGCTGGCCTTGAACTCACAGAGATCCACCTGCCTCTGCCTCCTGGACTGCTGGGATTACAGATGTGTGCTTGTTTGTTTTTAAACTGGAAATTCGGGCCATATTGTTATGCCAGGTTCACGGGACCCTCAGAGACCACCAGGAGATGACTCGATGCAATTGCAAGAGAGCTTTATTACGAGAGCGATCGAACTTGGGACCCAAGTCTCACTGGCACAGCAGTAGAGAAGTGGGACCCCAAGCTCTGAGTGAACAGGATTTTTAAAGGGAAAGTCTGTGAGCTGGGGGTTTCCATGGCAGCAAGCAGGGGGGCACAAGCCTTGGCGTTACAGAATTGGGTGAAGTTTAGCAGGGCGGGGTGACCTTTTCTGAGGCACATAATCACAATGGCTAAGGCATATAATCACAGTGGCTATTTTTCTAAACCATATCTGAAACATTGGGGAGAATTTTCCCACCCGATTCTCAACCAATTCCCATTGATTATTGCCAGGGAGTTTGTCTCTATTTTCTATGAAGCATTTATTCTGTTATATTTCCTGGAGGCTGTTGCTAGGAGAGTTAACTTTGTTTTCTGCCAGGTGTACATTCTGTGATATTTCCTGGTACCTGAATTCAGTTCCCAGTCAAGATCTTTATTTCAAAATGGAGTTATATTCAGGCTATCTTAAGCTCTTCAATATATGTCTATTGTTTAAACAGGTTTTTTTTTTCCTATAATAATTCTATAATGTGATCTTTTATTATAAAGGTAGCTAATTCTAAAAGCACATAAGCAAGTCTAACATGTGCCATTTTTCTTCTAGGTTTTGGCTTGGTTTGAAGAAGGTGAAGAAACAATTACAGCCTTTGTAGAACCTTTTGTAATTCTGCTTATATTAGTAGCCAATGCAATTGTGGGTGTATGGCAGGTAAGCAAAAAATTCTTGCAGCAGTGTTAACAGTTATAACTCACAAAGGCAAGCCAGGTGTGGTGGTGCACACCTTTAATCCCAGGCAGTTTCTCCGTGAGTTTGAGGACAGCTAGGGAGGACTACATAGAGAAACCCTATCTTTAAAAACCAGAAGGGAGGTGGGGGTTGGGGGAGAGCTGAACATAAAAAGAAAATCAGAATGAACATGGATGAGAAACTGAGTGTGGTAGATCTTCCCTTGTATATAACACTAAAGAGGTTGAGGCAGAATCTTTTGGGACCATTCTGGGGAACAAAAGCAAAACCCCATTTCAAAAAAAAGAAAGAAATTGATAATGGAAGGCCAAAGAAAACCAGAGAAACCGGGTATGGATGGAAGGCTAAAGAAAACCAGAGAAGCCCGGTGCAGTGGTGCACGCCTGTAATCCCAGCAGGGGCAGGTGTATCCCTGTAAGATTGAGGCCAGCTTGGTCTACAAATTGAGTTCAGGACAGCCAAGGCTACACACAAAAACACTTTGTCTCAGGAGGTGGGGGAAACAATGTGAGGACCATGGTCTGCCTTTATATTTCATGGTGATTTTGAGGACAAACTTCATGAAACTTTTATTTTCGTTAGTTTGCTGGGTGGGTGGGGGGGTGCTGTAAAAATTCTGAGAACCTAAATTGTTTCCAAGTTGTTCCCACTTTCTCTCCATTACTCAGGCTTTGCCTGCACTCAGGATGAAAGTTTATTTACCATAGAACAGAAATGGCATCCTTCAAAGGGTTTATGTATTTTGATAACAGCATTTTACTAAGTAGCACAGGCAAGCTGCAAACTCAAGACCCTTCTATATTGGCCTCCCTAGAATTTGGGATTACAGCTGAGCGCTGGAATGTTCAAATTGTCATCAGACACACTTTACAGACAGTCCTTGGGTGACTTGTTTGTCATCCCAGCTCTTAGGAGGTTCAGGCAGAAAGTAGTTCACTGTTTGTTATAAAGCCCCCTCCTCTTTTTCCTCTCATGTTACAAAGTTTAAGACAAGTGTTTGCCAGGCATATGTGTGCTTTAAGTCCCAGAGTGGTGTGTCCCGTCCCATCGCCCCCTCCCCCTAGAGTTTCCAGGCTGGCCTCAAACTCCTGAGTGTCTGAATGAGGGGTATGTGCCACCACAAACTAGCAAGTTTTAATTCTGCTTTTGTTTTTTGGGGGGGTGGCATGAAGGACTAAAGGATATTTTCTGGTGTGTAATGTAGCTCAGGGTGGCCTCCAACCCACAGTTCTGCCTGAAACTTTAAACTGCAAGGATTATAGGCATGCATTACCACACCAAATTTATCTTTGAGACAGGGTCTCACAAGGTAGCCCTGGCAGGCCTGAAACTCAGGATGGATTGCCTCTGACTCCTGAGTACCCGGTTAAATTAAAGGTATGAATCACCATGTCTGGTCCATCTTTTTACTCTTAATACAGAATTACAAATGTGTTTGTAATAAAGTGCCAATTGTTTAGTGCAGGTATCATTAATGTGCTTTTTTATATTAAGATTGTAAGTTTTAATTTCTAATCTAGAAATATTTAAGAAATTTTTAAACCAGGCAGGCTGGTTTACCATACTTTTTCTTCATACAGGAAAGAAATGCTGAAAATGCAATAGAAGCTCTTAAAGAGTATGAACCTGAAATGGGCAAAGTTTATCGACAGGACAGAAAGAGTGTACAGCGAATTAAAGCTAAAGACATAGTACCTGGGGATATTGTAGAAATTGCTGGTGAGTTGAGTTTATCATTTTCTTTTTTCTTAGATTGTATTTCTAAGGTTCTTTTCTCAAGGTTTAGAACTATATTTAGCTTTTTGTATTTTAATTTTTTTTTTTTTTATGCACATGGGTGATTTGCTTGCACATGTCAGCACTACACTTGTGCCTGGTGCCTACAGAGTCCAGAAGAGGGCATCTGAGGTGTGGGTGCTGGGAATTGAACTCAGGTCCGCCTGAAGAGTAGCCCGTGCTTTGAACCCTATTTTTTGTTGTTGTTTTTGTTTTTTTCCCTGTAATTATATTTAAACGTGTTTGTTTATTAATTACATTATACCATTTCAGTGCCTACTTGAAATGTTTCAGCACCTTTATGTTAATAAGGTATGTTTTGATATTATTTGAGATAGAGTTTCAGTATGTTGCTGAGTCTGAGTCTGGTCTCAAACTCCTGGCGAAGTGATCCTTCTACCTCAGTCTCCTATAAAAGGTTTTTGTGTTTTGGACAAAGTGTTTGAGGTATTATAGTTAATTAATAGTTGTAGTTATCAGTTGTAGAAGAGCACTAGTGCTAGATGTGGAGCTCAGGGTTGAGTTGACAGTTCACTGTAGTGATTGATTAAGTGGGTTCTCAACTTAGGTCTTGATGCTCATGTGGCACATGCATACTTTTCTGGTTAAGCTGTCTGTCCATCTCTCCTTTTCTTTTTTATGGTTTGATTCTGGATTTTTTGTTTGTTTTGGACTTTTAGGGCAGGGTCTTGCTGGGTAAGCCTGGCTGGCCCCAAATTCAGAGCTTCTTTTGCCTCTGCTCTGATGAGTGCTGGGATAAAGCCGTGCAATACCATGCCTGGTAATTTTTTGAAACAAGGTTTATGTAACCCAGGTTGGAGTTTAACATGGTATGTAGTCTAGACTCCCCTCAGACTTCTGATCTTTTTGCCTCTTTGGTCCTAGGATTGGTAGTCCGTGTCACTATCCTGGTTTTGACATAAACCATAAGTGATACCTGTAACTCTCAAACTGAATTGTTTATTTCATTTTTGGTTGTTGCATTAATAGAGTGAGTTGAAAGAGTTACTGCAGAGGATTATTCAGATAATTATTTGGGCTTACTGTATCTTTCTCTCCCAGATTAGGTTTGATTGCATTTATATAGTACCTTGGTGAATTGATCCTTTTACATTGATTTAGGGAAGATGGCCTTTATCATTATTGTTTTATTAAGACAGTTTTTAAAACTTGATTTGTACCTGTGCTATGTCAGAAAGGAATTTGGCTTTTCCTGGACACGCTGGTGAATTCAGTTATTCTAGAATAAAGGAATAGTTTGGATATGTACCAATAAATTGATTACCTAGGACTACAAACTTATGTATATAAATACTTTAAGAACACTGGAAGGGCCATGGATAGTTGAGTGGGTAAAATTTATTTTGATAAAATTTCAAAGTTACATTTTTCAAGATAGAGAATTCCCATGTACCCTTATAGTATTTCCTATTCTGTATGTTACTCTTCAACTACATGTGTTTCAATCTGTGTACATACACACCTTGTTTTGTGTTTAGTTTTGCTGATAGTAGATTGTAATCTGTACTTAGATTGTAATCTGTACTTCTACCTACTTTGGTTTTATGGGCTTCTGGTGTTGGATCACACTTGGTTTTTCCTATGTTAGGCAAGTGTTCTTATAATTTCAATTTAAAAATATTTTGTTAGATAATGGATTTGTTAGGTAATGGATTTCATTATGGAATTTCCTTTGTTTAATTTTATTTTATGTGAATTAGTATGAGTGTGTCAGATCCCTTGGAACTGAAGTTACAGACAGTTTTGAGCTGCTATGTGGGTGTTGGCAATTGAACTCTTGTCCTTTGGAAGAGCAGACAGTGCTCTTAACTACTGAGCCATCTCTCCAGTCCCATGGAATTTCTTTTTATTAAAATATTTATGTATAAGCCGGGTGCGGTGGCACATGCCTGTAATCCAGCATTCAGGGAGGCAGAAACAGACAGATCCCTGTGAGTTCGAGGCCAGCCAGGTCTACAAAGTGAGTCCAGGACAGCCAAGGCTACACAGAGAAACCCTGTCTCAGAAAAAAAAAATCTGTGCAAGAGACGAGTACAGTAACATTAACAGTAATACAGCAAATTTATGAATGGGAGTTCTTGTGTAGGGGTACAGATCAGAATCATTTACAGTTACCAGATCGCGTGCAACCCAAGTACAAACTGGTGTCGCATTGCCTTAAGTGCAAAGAAAAGTTCATTTTCCCTAGTGTTGGGTATTGTCATGCTAAGCAAGGACACTAGCAATGAGTTGTATCCCCAGCTGATTACAGAACTACTATGGGGCAGCAGGATATGGAATCAAAAGTGGCTTTTTAAGTGATTGCTATGATTGTGCTAGCTAGTAACTCAGGTAGAAAACATCAAAGGAAGGTTGTTTATTGCTTCTCCAGATTTCGTGTGTGAGATTCTGTGTGACCTCTACACTCCTCATACATCTCCAGTATGATCTGTGAATGACAGTAGCCGGGTGACTTCAGTGTGCTGGGCCTACACAATTACTTAGCTCCCAGAGTACTTTATCATTGTTACACATTAGTGTAACAGTAGTTACACATAGTACAGAACAGTGGCAATCAGCTCAGAAGCTCTGACCTGTTACAAAACACAAACCTTTGTTCTCGCTGTCTTTTTAACTTTTATTTATATTTCATGTGCTCGTCCTGCATGTTTGTCTGTGTGAAGGAGTTGGATCTACTGGAATGTTAGCGACAGCTATGAGCTGCCATATGGATGTTGGGAATTGAACCTGGGTCCTCTGGAAGAGCAGCCAGTGCTCTTAATCACTGAACCATCTCTCCAGCCCCTAACCACTCCATTTTATACATTATATATTATACATATACATATATATATGTATATGTATATATGTGTATGTATACATATACATATATATGTATATGTATAATATATATACATATATATGTATATAAAAATTTGTTGGAGGTTTTTTGTTTTGTTTTTGAGACAGGGTTTCACTGAAGACAAAGCTGGCCTTGAACTCAAAGATCTACCTGCCTATTCCTGTTGAGTGCTGGGATTAAAGCATTTGCCACCATGCCTAAGTATTTTTTAAGATTTTAAACAAATAGTAAGTTAAATACTGAAAATATTTAAGTTGAATATTCAAAAAAAAAGAAAAGAAAAGAAAAAGATGAGCTTTAAGTTTTAGTTGAATAAATGTAGTCAATAGGTCACTCCTTACATTTAAGGCTATGTCTGACTTCTTTCAGATTTCTTCATGGGCAGTGCTTTGACTTTGTGCTAATGTGCTTGCTTCTTGGATTTTGATCATTAAGGTGCAGAGCAGAGATAATAGTTTTTGCATAGATACTTTGTTAAAGGATCTTTCTAAGCATGTCCTAAGCACTCTGTAATGTTGACATGAAATTACAAGTGTAGGGTAGATGCAGCTCATAAACACCCTTATCTTGAAATTTGCTCTGCAGAACAGATCTTGAATGTGTTCAGGCATATGTTCTTTAAAAAATGAATGGGTTTTTTGACAACCTTACAAATGTTTGGTTTATAGCCACCAAGCACTCTAAATATGTCCTGTTTACCTTCTCTAGTTGACGAAAATGAGTCACTATAGTTTCTAGGAAGTATACATGTGATAAACGTATACCTGGTATGTATATAAGTCACATTTCCATTTGTTGATGGCTCAGGTCTCCACTTTTTAGCATCCTACTGATACAAAATTGACATGCCATACACAACCTTCTTTTCCACATTGCAGTTTTAGCCTGTTCACAAAGTTGTGTAACCATTATTGATTCCATACTTTGGTTTGCTCACAGAAATTCATATCCATCAGCAATTGTTCCTTGTCTTCTTCTCACTGTTCCCTAACAACAACTTGCTTGGATTTTTATGGGTTTACTTATCTAGACATTTAACACAATAAATAGTGCCTTAATAGTCAGACACATATACATAGAAGTAAAAACTTTTAAAAAGAAAATTACATTTTAGTTATTAGCTAATAACATTGTAAGGAGAGACTGTATGAACATTACAGATAGGTTTTGTGAACCTTTGGTCTAGAATTCTGGAGTCATGTAAAACTGACTTGGCAAAAAGAAAGAGATAACAACTCCTATCATATTCATTATTTTGAATGCCAGGAAAATATTTTTGGATGGATGGAAACAAAAAGTAGTAGAGCTGTCTCTCCATAGTCTTCGGTAAGAGAACGTCAGTGATTTTTAAGTTTTCTGTGTTACTTGTTAATCTTACAAATGTGAATTAGCTATAATAGCAAAAAAAAAAAAAAAAAAAAAAAATCTCTGCTTTTAGACTTTGGCAGGGGCTTTGGTGTGTGTCCTGGTGGCTTATTTATTCAAGGGAACTGTTTTTATGACTGTTTTAAACACGGTTGACAATAGCTCAGGGCATAAGCATGTTGCAGCCCTGTAGCTTTCTCTGGAATGAGCCCTATTTAAAGTTATGCAAGTGATAAAAATGACATGATCTTAACATAAAATTGCTTTTAAACTTCTGGAAGAAATAGATTTTATATTTCCTAAAATGAAGATTAACTGTTCAGCAGTAGAGACATCTTCCAGATTTATTCAGTAGTAAAGAGGAATAATTCTTAAACCTGACTATTTAAAGGAAGGGTTAGTAATAGAAAGTTAGCCAGTGCTTGGAAGGTGGAGGCAGAGGCAGGAGGATCTCTTGAGTTGGAGGCCTGCCTGGTCTACACATTGAGTTCCAGGACAGCCAGGACTACATAACTCACCCTGTCTCAACCTCCCAACTCCCACCCACCCAAATCAAGTGTACATATATGTGTCTTTGTCAGGCAGTTGAATACAAGGCAAGTCTATGGAATAGATGACCAAATTCATTTAAGAAAACCAGTATTATCTTCCTCTGTCTGACATTGGACAGAGAAAATTCACCTCTCCAGAATTAGGCAATTAAAGTAAATTTCTT